AGTTTAGTAAAAATAAAACAAAATTTGGATATAAGCCAGTTCCATAAGTTAACGTCATTTCTAAAACAAAAAAATGTTGGTTTTCGAGCACAGAAGGCGCAGGTTTTTACCAAAGAAGATATATCCAGGTTTATGTTAGCCCCTGATGAGATATACCTTATGATTAAAGTGAGTACCATTTTTGCTTTAGCTGGTGCTCTCCGCAGAGCGGAGCTTGTAAATATCACTCTCGATGATATACAAGATAAAGGCAATCTGATAGTTGTGAAAATTTCCGATTCCAAAAATCATTCTTCAAGATCATTTGTTTTATGTGAAGAAATAAATAATGGAAACTTTATGAAGCTGTACAGAAAGTACGCAGGTTTACGACCACCTACCACTCCGCATCGCCGCATTTTTATTAATTATAAGAAGGGAAAATGCTCAATTCAGTGCGTTGGCGTAAACACCTTTGGTAAGATGCCAACAGAGATTGCTGCATATTTGTGTCTACCTAATCCTGAACGATATACAGGACACAGTTTTAGACGTTCTTCAGCAACATTCCTAGCAGACTCAGGTGAAGCGATAACCAATATAAAACGTCTCGGTGGCTGGAAGTCCACTACTATCGCTGAAGGCTATTTGGAGGACTCCGAAACACAGAAGAAAAACATTTCGAATAAAATTCTTTCGAATAGAAATGACTTGCAACCTTTGCTGCCACCGTCATTTTCACCTTCATGCGACCTGCAACCGATGTCACTCTCGACCACGTCATCCTTTCAATCTACGAGCGTTACGACTATTAACAGCCAATTAACACCAACTAATTCCTCTGTACCGGCAATTTTACATAATTTACAAAATGCTACAAATTGTGTATTTAACATTAATATCCATAATAATTAGTTGTTTTTATTTAAAGATTTGTATATGTTGAAATAAAATAATTTTCCAAAAATAATTTTTCCTTTTTTGTATATACGGTCGTAGAAAAAATAATGTTCCTAACTCATGCGTAAAGTGTCTTTCCCGCACTTGACCGCTTGTCGCGTGCGGGAAAGTAACACTTTCCGCACTTGTTAGGAAAATAACTATTTTGCGTTTGTTGAGGACGTTCTGCTTAACAAATTTTCCTTTATCTCGCAATGAATTGATTCTGGCAATGAAACATTTTGATATTTACATTTTACTTTAGGAATAAACCATTCGCTAAAAGTAGTATGCGTCAATTGACATATGACATTTATCGCATGCGTCAAGGAAAGTATATTTTTGAATGTCCTTCGATAAATATTTTGCGAACAGATCAACCTAACGAAGAGTTGTAGATAATTTCAGCAAAATTCGATGATCTACCAATAGAAACCTAGTATGAAACTGCTTTACCAAGATGAATAAACGTCATGTCATTGAAAAACCTATTAAATGCCTATTCGCAAGTGACGTCAATTTCGCATGCGAAAACGAATCGAGTAAGTCAAAAATATAGGAGTGCGTTTAGAAACCACGCACGGCGCGTCTGGACCCTATTCTAATGTATTTGGTGAGACGCGCCGTGCGGGGTTTCTAAACGCACTCCAGTTTAGGTAAAAGTATACGTTTTCGCATACGTCAGGGTGGCGAATGATTCAAAAATTAACCCCCAGTTGACGTTTCACAATATATTTGCGACGTTGTCGGATGGATTTTACGCGATATAATACCATATTTGTATATAGGATCACATGTGCTGTGTGTACAGTCTGTTACAAAAATAACCTTTCTTTAGATTTAAGAATCTCGAACGGTTGGTATTCACTATAGGGCGATATTTTTGTGTACGACTGTCGCGAGTGAACTACCTTAATAACCAAATTCAGTCTTCATACACATGGGCGTCGTTTGGGTGGGGGGGGGGGGGGGGGGGCAGTTGCCCCCCCTGGCTTTTACGACTTAATCAACAACGCGTAAGATATGCATTACGAACAACAATCTCATAGAAATAATATTCAGGCTAATATAGTTGAAGAATAGTATAGGTTGAATATATTTATTGCATATCTGGGTTCCGCTTTTCCGAAAACTTTGTTAGTTTTTCCTTAAGCCTGTTACATCCCAAAAACATAAAAAATACTTTTTTCACTGCCGATAAGAAATTGAAAATGGTGGAAAAATTTGGAATCGACAATTTTGAAACTGAATACGACAATTTTGAAGCTGAATACCAAACTGGAATACGAAAGAGCTTTCTGCGCACAATGAGCTCTCCATTAATGATATAGCGTCCAAATATTGTGAATTTTATCCAGACATACAAAGTTGTTTAAAAAATATTTATGGCCCTTCCACCAACGACAGAGTTAATCGATAGAACGTTTGGAACGCTAAGGCATGTTAAAACATGGCTGCGGTCTATTCGATCAGTGCGAAGTCATGGCAGGGGAAGCAAAAGCGATACTAGCGCAAGCTGCGGATAATTCGAGTATTTTAGGGCGATATTTTGTAATTTTGGAGTATCAAATACACGTATACATTTTACTAAAAAAAATAGGTAAAAACAATAAAATGAGCAACCGGAGTTGCTATGTTGCAAATTATACTAGCAAAAAGACTGTAAATTATATGAATGTTCAGTAGCAAAATCGAAATTAAATAAAAGAAATAAATGGACAGCTGTATAATAAGAACAAAAAAAACCTTTATTTTTGTAATAATTAAGCAATAAAGTATTTTTTTATGATATTCTTTAACATCCCTTAAATCTTAAGCAAACGATTAGATTTCTGCCTTTAATTATTGTATATGGCTGACATGCAATCTTGTGACTTATTGATAGGAAACCAGTTTTATTCATTAATTTCTATGGGTTCTTTCGAACTAAAAATGAAGAAAATATAAATTACAATCGCAAATATACCAATTATTTTTGTAATTACGTTTTAATTCTACGTTATTATATAATGGTAATATTTTTATTTTGACATTATTTAACCTATTCTTCAATGACAACTTATTAGGCTTAGGCAAGATCTCATACATTTTCTCGTAAATACCTGCCTATGTTTTATTATTGATTTTTATTGACTTTTTTTAGCTGAAATAATAAAAATATATAATGATAATAATAATTTTTTGACTTGTTTTAAAATTAAAATGTATTTCTTAATTACGAACTCTATTAAAAATTGTATTGTCAGTATACGCAAATATTAGTTAGTTAGTTCATAAAATAGTTAGCGTTGCTGTCACGCACGGAGTGAATAATGAATGAAAATAGGCTGACTGAAAAATAAATTATGTTTTCCGTTATCGATGTTTTTAGTAGAGAAAAAAGAAATTTAAAATTTGCGTTTTCCTAGTGTTTTTTTGTGTTTATTGACATATTTGAGTGAGTTTTTTTATGTTTTTGTTTTTTATAAATTTTTATTTTTTATATTATGTTCATATTTTTCTTTTATATCACACCTTCTGTTTGTTTTTTAAAATGTGCTTTAAGTTTCTTGTTTTTTTTTTAATTTTAGTTTTTGTCTTTTTTGTTTGGTTGTTTTATTTATTAGAGACTTGTTATCACAACTTAAGTATCAGTTCTGTCAAATGGGTCATTGACATTGTTTGGATTACTACTAAAGTTCCATTCCCCTTATCTTCACTATTCAGTGTTTGAAAGACTGGAACAAACACTTTCTTATGATGGATTCAATTATTCTGTGACGTCCTGGCTTACTTCCGGTTTTTCCGAAAATAACGAAAATCGAATTTTTTTTTTATTGTTAAATGGAAACCCTCTCTTTTATTGTAAATTTAAACATTTTTGTATAATAATCATGTATTGTCAAAATGGCCGGCATATTGGATAATATTTTTTCTAAAAATGTCACTATTAATTCGTTTATGGAAAAAAATATAGGAATGTACGATCTTTATAAAATCTTTGTAAGCTTCAAAATTCCCATTGAGACCCATTTATCGTATACCAGTGGCGTATCTAAGCATTTTATTATTAGCACAGTTTAATAATTCCATCCGCTTTTATCTTCCTTGTTAATTGAGATATTGGAATGAAAACTTTTTTGTTTAAAAGATGGAACGAATACTGTCATATACTGGATTCAATTGGTGTTTGACGTCATGGCTTACTTCTGGTTTTTCGGAAATAACAGAAACCCACTTTTTATTGAAAATTTGAATTTCGGGAACATTTATGTAAAATAATCATGTGTTGAAAATTTTCTGTCAACTGTCAAAATAACCATCATATTGGAAAATATTTTTTTTTAATATGTTACAGAGAATTTTCAATGATCCAGAAATTCAAATTTTCAATAAAAAAAGGGTTTTCATTCAAAAATAAATTGCGATTTTCTGTTATTTCTGGAAAAGCTGTAAGTAAGCCATGACGTCACAGAAAAATTAAATCCATCATAAGAAAATTCTCTTTTACTTTTCATTTCCTTTGTTTTCCAACAAATAAACATTCTAAAATTTTTTCAAAATTTTTTACTATTTTTTAAGAATAAAACTAGATCATAAACTCAATTTTAAATATATCCAACAAATAAAAAAGAAAGCCAACACATGAGCCAAGCACTTCATAGGTTTAACTTACAAAAAAGGGAATCAACATATATATACCCATTTAATTAGTTACTATATGAAACCAAATCACACCTATACCTATTCGACAAAGTATGAATGAGCCATTTAAATTACAAAGAAACCAAATACAGAACTGCTGAACCATAGAAACCCCTACATCACTCCAAAAAAGAATGGACTTTAATGAAAATAATTAGTACCTACATAAAATATTTTATTTTACACACAAAGTAGTAATGTTGTTTTGATTATTTTTCATTCTAAATCAGCACAAAATAATTAAAACACAATACACGACAAAATAACCCACTTTCTTGAAACAAAATAACTAACAAGCAATATAAACACACTACAAGTAGTTGAGAATAAATTATTTTATATTTGTCAAAGAATAAAGTTAAATGTATGCAACTAACAATAAAAGAAAGAAATATTGGTTGCCTAGATAGTAATTTTTTTACCAAAATAACAAATTATAGAGTTTATTTCAATTTCCAACATAAAAAAATGAATTTAATTTTTTTTATTAAAACACCCTGTGTGTTAAATTGTTACAGTGTCTTAAAGCATCTTTTAATTTATAGATGAGGTCTAATAGTTCCACAGAATTGCAGGTAAAGTGAATATTCTTCAAAGCCTTGTTTTCATTTTCATTGTCGTACTGTTCTGCTATCAAACATATTCTAAATAACGGACCTTCTGAAGAATCCATTTCGCTAGACTAAAAATATAAAAATTATTCAGAAAATTATTCCCTAAACGTTTTATTTTAGGTTTTTCCACAGAAAACATTTGTTTAGAATATAATAATTAAAAACTAGTACAATACGTTGAGATAGAAGTGGCCTGCAAGATGTATACAAGGAGAAAAGAGAATAACAGTGAGAAATAGAAATATTTATTGAAGAAGTGAGCTATCACCTTCAATGTCTACTACTTTTATTAAATATTTCTCGAGTGCCCCTTCTCATATTGTACCAATTTAAAATTACACTATTTTTAATATTGAATATAGAGTGCTTGTCTAAAATCTCTTTCCCTTCTTAATGTCATCTGATTGAGTCATGTATAACGCGCTTATATTCATTTATAAGCAAGTTTATGTGTCAGAGACTGCTGGGCTTCGAATCCCAGACCAGACTATGTGAATTTTTGAATTAAATTGCATGGTTCGGTATAGAATTTGATGTATGCCGTATCAATAGAAATTCAATTTCTGTTGATATGACATGCAGATTAAAAAAATTCGCCATACATTACCGTCACAATGATGGTGGGTGAGGTTTTCCTCACCTGTAAGTCAAATGGCACCATCAATCATCTTTAAGTCGCCCCGGAGCGCCACGGCAAATAATAATAATAGCCGTCCCTTTCCCCGCACAAGCTCAGCTTTTGGGGTTAAAATTCACTCGTAAGGGGGTGGATTAGGGAGAGTATTATTATTATTATTATATACCTTAGATTTAAGTAACACATAGAGATCGAGTAGGCCAGTGTATTGTACCTCTGCGCCTAGTCAACCTATTGGCTCTTGGGATACAGTTCATTGTAATAAAAACTCTTACTGTGCTATATAAACTGTCAGATAGTAACATATTTAGGTGCCTCATTTTCGCATACAAGCCTTGAAAAAGGTTGAAAAGTAGTACATCGATGTTGAGTAAACTGAGAGGTAATTTACAAGTGGCTCTTGGGGATAACATGGAAAATTCGATTTTCCTTAACAGAAATATTTTCCGACCCCAAAATGCACTCAAGCCAATATGTTTTTTGGACTAGTGACGATGTAAGTTTTCATACATTCAATGGGCTAGCATGGAAAAATCAGTTAAAATCTTATTTTTTCTTTTCTTACAAGATTACGCCCTTAATTTAACCCTTTAGCCACTTGCAACAGCCTTTGGTTTTCTGAAGCCTAGTTCTATTAGTTAATCATTTAGTGACCATGGCTTGCTTGAAAATATGGGCAACAAACATCTAAAATTACACTTTTTTATGCACATGGAAGTACCAAAAAAATGTCTGAATTTTTAATGTAAAATTACTTGATGTCCCCATCAAAAGTGTCCATGGGCCCAAAATCCTATCTTATGACTAGATTTTGAAGTTAGAAATTGCTATTGTTATGTTTAAATATCAACATCCATTGCATGTTTTACCTCTTGAGCATTAGTGTATTTACATTGGACACATTTGCTCCAACTACATTTAATTATCTTGAATCACATGATCAAAGATTCACATCTCAGATGTATCATCACCTGATGTGGATAAACAAATGCAGCTATAAATACTCAATAATATTCTCCTTATCATTCACTTATTAATGAGTGACCCTCGTGAAGCAGAAGAGCTTATGCAGGGATGGACGGCTATTATAATTGTTGTCGGGGCGACTTATGTGATTGATGCATTTGGATTGGAAAACCCCACCTACCATCATTAACTAATTACTCTTTTGGTATTCATAATTATTGGCAATAAAATGTGAGAAATTAAGGAGCTTTCTTTACACCTTCATATTTAATCCCAACCACTCTCATATGGATACCCTCGCCCCTAAGTATAGTTTTAGATTTAAACTTGTGCTTGACTTGCTCTGAGTGCATACGAAAGGTGGGAGATATGTCAATACCAGTTATTTTTCAATCTGAAATGTAACCAGTATCGATATATCGCTCATTTTTTATGTGCACTCCACGCAGGCAGGGCAGTGGAATCGAAAACGCTATAAGTAGAATAGGTAACCTATTTATTACCTTCACAATGTGATCTATTTTCCACTTAATATCCGAAACATGTGGTAAACTACTTCCAATATTCAATAAAGAAATTTCTATTTTAGTTCTTTCTTTTTCGAAATTTTGGGCATACAAATCTGCACGATCAGAGGGTAAACCACAGTTACTGGTTAAATATTTAATAATTTCTTCTTTTGACACATTTTTTCTAGCAAATTCAGCAGTTACTGCCAGCAAAGCTGCATAAAATTCCTTTGTGACATCTGGTTTGGACTTATAAAGATTACTGGTGGCTGAAATTTGTAAATTTATTTATAAATTTAACACATTTTATTTTTCTCACAATGTATTTCCTTCTTCTCCGTCAAAAAACTAAAGCAATTTTCTATGATTTTTTTGAAAATGTCATCAGTAATTAGGGTAATATTCCGAGATATTGATAAAGACGACTTATAATTCTCAAATATTTTCATTTTTCAATAATTTATTTACACAAAAATTGAGTGTTTACTGTTTGTTTACATTTAATAACCTAACTTTAAAAAAATGCGACATTGACATTGACAAAGGACTGAAACTCGAAATCTCTGATGAATAAAAACTATTGATACGTAACTATCATCTTTTAGCATAACTATGAATAAGCATAACAAACTGAGGGATTGGCGAGGAGAGAGGGAGATTGTTTACATCACATAGGCGTATCATAAATTAAGTTTAACATGGGAGGTATTTTATTGTAATTTTTTAATTTGGGTATTTTCAACAGCAATCGCTGGGAAATCAACAATTTTTTATTTTAATTATAATTTTCTCTAAATGTCATCGATTTAATTAAAAGTAAACAAACCGTGGATGTCGGTTTTGGTAAAAGTAAGTAGGCCGTAGCTGTGTGAATTAAAAAAACTGTCCATCTCTAAACTTTTATTAATATATCATCACAGAACACGTACTTTACGCACTAGTGAAAAAAGTAACTTTTATATTTCTAATATTAGTGGATAATGTGTACGGTAGTAGAAAAAAATATTGTATGCACCTCATGTGTAAAGTCCCTTTTTTGACTCTTGCGATTGTCGCACTCGCCTATGGCTCCTGCGGCAACATTCACATTCGTCAATAAAGAGTAACTTTACACACTTGTTGAATAAATAACTATTTTTATTTCCCAAAAATGTTTATTCCGGATAAAACTTAAATTTTTAAAAAATAACATTTTATATTGCCAGGCTCTGACGTCTCATATTATACAAAGCATTTTAGAAGGTAAAACTGTACCTTTTCAAAATTAACAATTTTCGAAATCTATTTCTTAATTAAGACGACCCATTTATAGATCTCAAAAATACAAGCAGATATTTTGTATTGCTAGCTCTGATGTAACACATGCAGGGTATTAAGAAATTAAAAAATGTGTTTTTTGAAACCAGAAATTTCCAAAATTTACTTTTTTAAGGCGGCCTCAAAAATACAAATACCACAAAGAAGTTCCATTTGTTGTAAATTTTTTATCAACCCCGCTTAAAATTACTTACCTACTTTTTGAGATACCTACATGTTAGTAATTAAAAAAATCTCAAATTAAGCACCTTGATTTCAAACTTCAAGTATCTCGTAAAATTTAACATTTAAAAGTAAATAGAAACTAAGGAATACCATGAATCTAAGGATTATTATTTCTATTGGCTAAAACTTTGTTAGGCACTGATAAAGTTTAATTTTCTTGTTCCAAAACCGAACATCTTATTTTGCGGGTAGGTACCAAGATGCATAAAGCAGTTAAATACTCATAAAGGCTCGCCGCACCCGAAGTTTACGAGATTCGAAGGGTCAGCGGTCGATTTTGTATTTAGGACATGCGTCCTTAAATTTACTGGGTATAATATTAATAGATGCAACTTCCGATGACATTCGAGTACAGGTTGTCCTGGATTATTTTACGCATTTTATAGGTAGCTGGGCGGGGGGTAAAACAATTCATAGAAGTTCGCTTGCATCTATGGAGCGGTCTTATCAATTACAAAATATTCCTCACATACATTTTATTAGAATAACTAATTCCTAGATTTTGTAAAAATATAAAACTAAAACAAAAACAAACAAATCTAAACAAAATTCAACAAAGAAAACAACTATTAAAGTAATAAGTGATTCCGAAATGTTCATAATACTTAAAAGGATTGTTTTAATAGTAAATATTTAGCGCTAAGAATCCGATATATTAAAAAGAAGTACTATTTTAAGTTTAAACCCTTTCCTTGGACACGGAATTATACGTGTGGGTGGAAGATATAAAAATTCCAATCAGTTATTCGATAAAAAAATTCCGATAATTTTGCCGAAATCTCACGACCTTACTTATTTAATTATAAAAATCTGATGTGTCCAACACATGACTTTCCTATCTAGTATAGGCTTTTTCCGGTTATTTTGTACAACCTATTGCAACACCTCTATAAATGTTTAAAGGATAAACTAAATATATACATTTTCCACATACATCTACCTCGAAACATTTTTTTATAGATATAACGAAAATACTGAAAAATTTAAATTTAGCACTTTTCCTACAATTTTTCCATTACGGTCCATTTTATAAAAATCATGTATAAACAAAAATTATAGAGATCGATATTGCAAACAATTTTCATAAAAATCAGAATTTTGCACATTTTGTCAAATTTCTCGAATACGGACCATTTTAGGAAATTTTGACATCAAGCAAAAATTATAGATAATAATATTAGAAGTAACTTTTATTTGAACAATTTTCTTCTCCAAACATAAATAACAGATATATTCTATAAAATATAAAAACGGCCTCCCATAAAGTACCCCCCACCCAGACAACACACCAAATCCCAGAGATATCCACAGAATATCTTTTGTGGATATCCAATATATCCACAGGATATCAGAAATATTCCGTGGATCTAATATGGATATCCAAATGTCCGTCTATATCCAGAATATAGAAGATATCCTAATGGATATTCAGCAAAATATCTAATGGGTATCTTCCAGAAAATACAAGAAATCCCAGAGATATCCACAGAATTTATTCTGTGGATATTCAATATATCCAATATGGATATCCAACCAAATGTCCGTCTATATCCCAGGATATAGAAGATATTCGGATATTCAGCAAAATATATTATGGGTATCTTTAGTAGAGGTTCATAAGTAACCAATGATTATTGAATAACGTCGATAGAAAATAGCAGAGACAAAAAATATTTTCAATACTCTGCCTTTGATTTTGCCCACTAAGGAGAAAGTCATCCTTATTAGGACTCTTCAGCAATAAATGAAAATTCTCGACTCCAGTCTCTAATGGAGTGATTAGGACACAAATTTCGATCGAACTCAATTACGGCGGGTCGAGCATGAGTAGATGCGATAGTGGTATCGCCATCTATACTTAGTAAGCAGAATCAAATAACATCTAGTGGATATCCACGATGGTTTGCGTTCGCGCCTAGACTTTGATATATTTAGTGGATGTTCATGGGATATTGAATACACCTTAAAAAAAATTATTTTAAATATCTGAACGGTACTATTAGCCACAATGGCGAGCACAATGGCGTAATTTTTTAATAATTTGGTATATAATTACTATTATTTATAGACATTTGCATGTCTATAAATTACATTTCATGGATATAAAATAGATATCTGCCATGGACTGGACATTCAGTGGATATTGGGATGTTCAGTAGATATCCAAAGGATTTGGGGTGCTGTCTGGGCAGATGTTCCGACTTTGTCCAAAATCTAATCATTTCACGTCAGGCCGAAATAAAACTTAAGTTTAAAATTTAATGTTTTTTTCTTTATCCGTTTTTGAGTTTTCTTCAAAATTCGAAATTTACACATTTTCTCAAATATCTCAAATACGGTCCGTTTTAGAGAAATTATGTATAGGATAAAAATTATAGAAAATTATATTACAAACAACTTTTATTTGAACAATTTTTATAAGAAATTATTTTTTTACATTTTTTCAAATTTATCGAATACGGACCATTTTAGGAAAATTTTGTATAGAACAAAAATTATAGACAATAATATTAGAAGTAACTTTTATTTGAATTTTCTTCTCCAAACGTAAATAACAGATATATTCCATAAAATATAAAAATTACCACCTATAAAGTACCCCCCAGATGTTCCGACTCTGCCTAAAATCTAATCAGTTCATTGGGCTCTGGAATAAAACTTAAGTGTTTTAAATTTGGTGTTTTTCTGTGTATCGGTTCATGAGTTATGGTGGATACACACACACACACAAACACACACACACACACACGCACACATACATACATACATACACATACACACACACACACACACACACACACACATACATACACATACACACACACTGCACACACACGCACCCACACTCCACACACACGCACACACACGCACACACACGCACACACACGCACACACACGCACACACACGCACACTCACTCACTCACTCACTCACACACAAACACACACACAAACACACACACAAACACACACACAAACACACACACAAACACACACAAACACACACAAACACACACACACACACACACACACACACACACACACACACACACACACACACACACACACACACACACACACACACACATCATCGCGAAAATAGTCAAAACGGATTCAGGGGACCTCAAAACGTAAAAATCCGTCGAAAACTCGAGGTCGAAAAAAATCATGATTCCTATACTTTCCTTATATCTGTATACAGATAGGAAAGTAAAAATTGCTGTTTGAATGGGCCATGTTCTAAAGGGAAATGTATTATAATAGTACACGCTGGAAGCAAAGACGGTTTCGTGCCTAATGCTTTATTTATATCTGTTAAACAAACTAAAAACTGTGCAGCTGATTATCATGAAGATATGACAGCAGAATTATTTGAAAAATGGTTTAATGAACAGCTCTTACCTAACATTCCACCAGTCAGTAATCGTTATGGACAATGCATCCTACCACTCCTACCACTCCGTCGAAAACTCGATGTCGAAAAAAATCATGATTTCTATACTTTCCTTATATCTGTTAGATAGGAAAGTAAAAAACTAGTGGCGCAAAGAAAATTAAGGCTTATCTATGTTTGTTTATTATGTGTACCTATCTTGACCTGGTAACGGCCTTGACGGCGGATTCATTTTTAGTCAAACTAAAAAGATTTGTCAGTTGTCGCGGTAAATCCGCCAATATTTTCTCTGACAATGGCTCTAACTTTGAAGTATCAAATAAAGGATTATCGGAGTTGTTTAATTTTTTTAAAGGAATTTAATCTTAATATAATTAAAATTTTATCCATAGAAAGACTTCAATGGTATTTTATTCCGGCCCTTAGTCCAAATTTTGGGGAATTCTGTGAAATTTTATTTAAAGAGAGTGACAGTCGAAAGCTCTTTTACTTATGAGGATTTCCCTACAATTTTAATTCAAATAGAGAGTATACTAAACTCCCATCCTTTAACATCATTGAATTCTGACCCTAATGACCTTAGTTCCTTGACTCCAGAACACTTCCTGATTGGTCGCAGACTAACGGCCATATGCACCATTCTTCTGTTAATAGTTATCAGAGAGTTAACTACATAACT